AGGAATCACAGTCCTCCTGCTTAGATCGGCGGACCTGCCAATCTCTCCATATTCCTGATGACTGGGATTTGCGAGGAAAGGGCCCTGAGAAGAGCCCAAACAGGAAGAGGCGCCCCGAAGCCTGAGCAGGCCCAGCTGCGTGAGGCCTGGCTCCTTACCTGGGACAGTCCTGGGTGGTTAGGGCCCACTGTGCTCTGGGGCCGTCCCTCCAACCAGGAAATCTTCAGAGGGTTATCGACTAGGCCCACTTCATTCTGGACAGCCAGCTCCTGTCAAATACAGCATCCGGTCCTGGTCCCATCACTCCAGTCGGCTACAAAATGGCTCTCGCTACCCCCACAGAAAGAACCAGAACCAGCGCTCTCATCCTCCAAGCAAAGCACAGCAAACTTCATACAATGGTGTGCTGAAGCTCTGACCTTCCTTGTGCGCCACGTGAGCTTTCTGACTGGGGAGTGGGGGAAGGGGAGAAGGCAGTGCGAGGGCTCCAACCTGGAGGCATGCCGGCTTCCAGGGGAAGGTGGAGGGTGTGGAGCCAGGCAGCAGGAAATGAAGCCATCCCCAGAATATTCTCCTGTCCATCCCTTCACTCGCTGTGCCTCTACTCCTGGGAGCTGGAGGGGCTCTGGGAAATCTTGGCTCTGAGCTGGCCCAGAGATCCCCTGGGAGTGTGGACACCTAAACTCAGAGGGCCTACAGAACTGGATTCCTCCCCTGGAAAGGCAGGGCTGTCGGTAGCCCCCAAAGCCCCACGTAGCACTCACCGCAGCCTTGATGGTTGCAAACTCCACCACGGCGGTGCCTGCCTTCTTACTGGACAGTACCAGGTTGAGCACCTCTCCGTACTGTGAAGATAAGGGGGTCCCGGTAAGCATGGCTCAGCCTTCAGGATGGCTCAGCTCACACCAGAGACAAGCCTGAGCCACCCAGAGGCCACTAGGCCATTTTTAGCCGGGGTATAAACTCTCATTGCTAGGTTCAACCAGAAAGGGGATATCAGAGATGGGAAAGAAAGGTTCCCCCGCCCCTCAGGAATGCAGAGGACAGCAAAGGAGAGCTTGGCAGACGTGGGAATTTAGACCAGCAGAGACACACAGCTGCCTCAGCAACTGAAGGAGGTGAAGAGGATGGGGCTTTGGTGCCAGACAATAGCCTCCTCTTGCCCCACAAACGCAGCCAAGCCCTTTGCTTCTAAGGATGGCAAGGGAAGGGGCACATGGCAACATGAGTGAATGGAAGGTCATGGCCTGGGGAGAAGGTCTATGACACAGAAAAAAAGGCAGGTAGAGATGGGAAGGAAGGTTAGGCCTGGAGATCCTAGGGTTTGGGCTGAGGTGGGGCCTGAGATGATGGGTTAGGGGGAAGTCAGCAGGGCAGACCTTTTGAAAAAGCCGCACGAGGACATCTCTGGAATAGCCGCCTTGTGACTTGGCCTCCTTGCTCTTCCACTTGAGCTGAAAAGACAGCAGTGGGTGTCACCATTAAACACTGACTTCTCAACAGAACCAGACCCTGCACCTGAGCTTTACAGTCTGAGCAGACACCCCGCTTCAAAGCACTGGTAATCTAGGGAGCACCCCCCAAAATGCATTCACCCTTGAAAACAGACAGGCAGGTGGCCTGCTCACCCACAGCTACGCTTCCAGCCCTATAAGATGCTCTCCTTCGAGGGCCTCAAGGAGGGCTGCCCTGCAGCCTTTCACGGCCAGCTCTGAGAGGCCATCTTGATGCCCAGGCAGTGGGAAGATGGAAGGATGGGATGTGGGTAGTGGTGTGGCTCCCAGAGATCCAGCGTCCCCGCCAGAAGCACCTGTGCCCATGGAAGCATCTGTTCTGCTGAGAGGAGATGGTGTGAGGTGGCCCGTAGATCCGCAGGGCTCACCTTTAGCTTGGGGGTTCCTTTGCTTTCAGGATTTTCTGCCATTCCTAGAAAATTTAGGAAAATTAGCAGGGTAGAATATGATGGAGTCAGAGGTTCTCTCTCCCAAAGGAGACACAGCCCAGGGCAAAAGGACCTAGAAAAGATCACTCCTGACCAAGGGCAGTATTTGCCCCGCCCTGCTGTGGAGCCTGGTAGGGCAAGTAGAGGCAATCCCACCCCAACCCTGAGGAGCTGTCACCTTGGGACAGCTGCCCAGCTGCCTGCTGAAGGCCATGGTCAGCACTCTGCCAACAAAGGGCTATGAACACCTACAGGGGGCAGAAGGTAGAGGTATAGACCACACAGTTCTACCGAAACAAAGTACCCCAGAGCCTTCCCCACCCCGCCCTGGTGATCTGCTCCAAAATAGAACCAGCTCTGCTTGGGACTAAGATAAATGGGGCCAGGAGATCTCAGGTAGAGTGAAAATCCAATAGGCCTCAGAGAACTGGTAAGAAGAGACAGGTGGCATGTGTCCAAGTGGGGTGCCCGGGTTCCAGCAGGTGGAAGCTTCCAGAACAACTTCCCTGAGCAGCCAGTGTGGCCATTCTGGGCATCAAGAGCTGTCTCAGAGGGGGAGGCAGGTTTGAGGGACGGACTCTCACCTCTCAACCTCTGTTCCCGTTCCTGGCGTATCTGCTCCTGGATCACCCTCCGCTGCTCCTCCAGCTGCCGGGAACCCTCTTCTCGCAGGCGTTTGATCTGCAGAGTGGGAGTTGGGGAGGGTGACAGTTCTGTGCAGATCCAATTCCAGGTTGGCTCACCTTGCAAAGGTCCCTGGGACATTCCACCTGCAAGCTAGGCTCAGCAACCTGCAGGTGGGACAGATTACCCAGATCCCACAGAAGAAAGTGGAAATGGCATGCCCTCTCCAACCACAGCAACCCCTTTGCTCCACCAGCCTCCTCCCCCTGCAGATGGCTGCAGTGCCTGGACGCTCACCTCTTGCTCTAGTGTCCCGGTGCTCCGGCTCTCCTCCTCCTCCTCGTCACTGCCGTGGGCCTGGGCCTGCCGCTCCCGGGCCTCCAGGTCTACGAACAAGGCTTGAATGACCCAATGTCTGGTCTAAGCAGTTTCTACATGGCCCCAGCCTACCAGGCTCTGGCTGCTTCCCCAAAGTCTCACACAGCATGAACCTATACAGTAACTCTGGCCCCTCCCTCAATGCCCATGTGCTCCCAAATTAATTTCCATTGAGAAAAGTCCTAACAAGGAAGAGAACAGGATCCAGCTGAGTGGCCGGGGTCTGAAAAAGTTAAAGCAGCTCACGCTGACCAAGCTGGTTCTCCAAACAGTGAACAAGGTGTGGGTGGGTGCTTATGTCAGCAGCCCACGGCCATGGGTCAGGGCTGCCAGTGGGTGGAGCTCCTGGCCTCTGTTCCTGTGGTTTGGCACCACAGCCTGACCTGCGACCTTGCCATGGCTTTGATGCTCTTCCCCCCAGTGAGCTTGAGTTCCCACAGAATCTTCTTTTTTTTTTTTGGCTGCATTGGGTCTTCGTTGCTGCGCGCAGGCTTTCTCTAGTTGTGGTGAGCAGGGGCTACTCTTCGTTGCAGTGTGCGGGCTTCTCATTGCGGTGGCTTCTCTTGTTGCGGAGCACAGGCTCTAGGCATGTGGGCTTCAGTAGTTGTGCATTGCAGGCTCTAGAGCGCAGGCTCAGTAGTTGTGACGCACGGGCTTTGTTGCTCCACGGCATGTGGGATCTTCCTGGACTAGGGATTGAACCCGTGTTCCCTGCATTGGCAGACGGATTCTTAACCACTGCACCACCAGGGAAGTCTCACGGCGGAATCTTCTACCTCCCCGCCTCAACTCACATTTACCAAGCCTCACTGTGGACCCGGCTACAACGGCTCCTACAGGGATGGCAGCCACCATGCAAGGACATCACCCCAGGTCCTGGAGCCTTCCCACCTTCCAAGAGAAAACTGCTTGTGGCCCTGTCCCAGGCCAGCTGCTGTGACAAATGCTTCTTTCAGGTCTGGGACTCACCGCTTTGTTCTCTGTTCACTTTACTTACCTAAACTCTTCAGGTTTTGTTTATTTTTGATGGATGTACTGGGATGGTATATGTACATAATAAATATATGGATATGAAGCAGGCAAGAGGACGGGGAGAAAAATCGAGTAAAGAAGCTTGGACCAATCTTACGGGGGTGATGAAAATGTTCTAAAATTGATTTAGAGTATAGTTGCACCATTTGGTAAATTTACTAAAAATCACTGAATTGTTCACTTGAAATGGGTGGATGATATGATATACAAAATATACGTCAATAAAGCTTTTTCTTAAAAGACGAATGCCTGGATCTCTTTGGATCCTTCTGAGAGGATTTCATGGAGTGAAAGCTCTGTGCAGAGCTGGGACGAATGAAAAAGATCCAGGACGGCATGGCCAACAAGAACGCTGACTGTACTCATGCTGTGTGGGTTCAAATCCTGGCTCCAGCAAATTCTTATCCTTTTGGTGCCTTAGCCTCTTTTGTCTATAAAAAGTGGGTTTCATAACACCCAGCTCCTTGGATAGTTGTAATAATTAAAGGAGGCAGTAAAACATCTGTCACAGCACTTAGCTAATAGCACACCTAGTCACTGTTATTATCCCTATGACTGTCCTTTAGGAGCCACCCCTGAGAACAGGGTTCTGCCCAGAGCCGGGGCCGCAAAGCTCTGAGTTGCTGGAACTGAAGCTGTAGGAGGAAAGGTGGGGGAGCTGCAGGAAAGTGGTCCAGGGAAACTGCAGGCTACCAGCACCACGATGTCACCTACCAAGCTTCACTTTCTTCCTTCTCTCATCAAGTTTCTGGGTCCTCTCTGCTGCCTGCTTCTTGGCTTTCCTGACCTTGTCATATGCAGCCTGGCAGAAGAAAGGAACACGGAGGAGCAGTTAGCCAGGAAACATACACAGAGCCCAGCCACCTCCCCGGCCCTGCTGCTAGCCCTACAGCCATCAGGAGGCAGTCTGGTGACAGAGTCTCCAGGCTAGGACAGCAAGGACTGTGATGCATGGCCAAGTATACAGGATGAAGCACACAGTGGTCTATAAATGTGGAGTAATTTAAATAGAGAAGGATGAGCTTACCCTGGCGGCAGCATCGGTCAGTACCTCCAAGGCCTGAGAAAGCTGATGGAAGAGTTCAGCTAAACATAGCGATCAAAAAAGAGAGAGGAGAAAAGTAAAGTTAGACTTGATGATGGTGTACTCCCTCAGAAGAGCACCTCAAAGAAGCCACAGGCTGCTAGAAAAGCAGACATCAGCAGATGATGGACTAGCAAGGACGGGTGAGTGCATCAGCAATTGACCAGATGCTCCTAACATGCGAAGTGCAGCCTTGGGGCCCAGCGCCCAAAGCCAGGCTGTGTGCATTGGCCTCCCACGGCACTCACACCACACCCAAGTGGGTTGGCCTCCTTCTCCCCATGCCTAGGAGAGGCTCACCTGCTCTGGGATTATCCGGATTTTTGTCTGGGTGGCAGGAGAGGGCCTTCTGCCTATATGCCTTCTTCATCTGGAAGAGTCAAGATTTGGTTATTTACTCTCTCACCCCAGGACGGAAAGGAAAACATTGTTAAAGTGACAAGGGGAATCCAGGGTGTGCTCTCCATTGCTAAAAGAAAGGCTGCCACGCTGAAACCGTCACCTCACAACCACAGAGGAGACCTGCAGTGGAGGCAAAGGCCGTGGAGGGAGCTGACCACTGCCCTGCAGCAGAGGGGCTGGGCCTGCTTCCGCTGAGCACCCAGTCTTACCACTGTGGATGTCAGAGGGCTCCTGGCCGGGGGCAGATGTCCCTATAGCCACCCGGAAACAGGCACTCTCACACACTCATGGTGTAATGTAATGTAAACCAGGGCAACCTTTTGCCCTGGAGGGAAGTTTAGCCATCAAAATTTAAAATGTACTTTCCCTTTGACTTACTCTGGAATTTGGACTTGTAGAAGCATGCCAAAATAAATATGCAAGGATGTCCACTAAAACATAGTGTATATTAGCCCCAAAGTGGAGCCAACCAAAATCTCCAACAACGGAGAGACCCATTAAAAAAGTTACCATAGACAGAAGTCTGTATGTGCTTTCTAGAAAGATCTTCAAGTCTTAATCACAAGAAAAAAAAATCATAACAATGTATGGTAACAAATAGCAAATCATGTTGTACAAAATGTGCCAATTATACCTCAACTTAAAAAAAGGAAAGAAATATCTTCAAGGTATGGTGCATGAAAAAAACAAGGCTTAGTATATACAATGATCGTTTTGGGGTTGAAAATAAACAAGAAAAGAAATGTAAATAGTTAGAGACGCTCAGGCATGTGCACAGCCCTTGTTTTCTCTTCTTTCCTCAAAGCAGTCATAAACCTGTGGCTTCCTTTGGAAAGAAGCTGAAAGTGGAGGGGAAGGAAACATTTACTTCTCATTTTATACTTTTCTGTAGTTCAAATTTTCAAACCTTAAACATGTCTTACTTTATTATCTTTTTTATTGATAACAGGGGTTATCTTGGTGGCGAGGCTATGGTCCGTTTTTAGTTTTTACCTTTGCACCTCTCTGTATTAAAGAGAAAATGTTTTATTTCTTATATTAGTAAAAATTAGTAAAAATTAGCAAAAATAAGCAAGCATAGCCACCAAGATTCTCTTTTATATATTTCCCACACATAAGGGAAGGCAGAGCACAAAATCCCAGAAGCTACCCTCTGCTTCCTGAGGCCTTGCTCTCAGTTCTGCCTGCACACCTTACCTACTGCTCAAACCTCCTGGGAGGAGGAGCCTCTAGACCAGAACCTCTACCAGTAGCTAAGAAGACTGGCTTCTCAGGCTTCCCAGAGGGAACCAATAAACACTTCTATCCAAAGTGTGCTAAATAAGGGGCTTCGGAGGCAAGCAGCCAGCACCCCCAAGGGAGGGCCTGAGGGCAGGTGCCTAACTCCACTCCCACCTCCAGAGCTAAGGAGGGCCAGGAGCCACCTAGCCCAGGACCTCTGGGGTGTGCTGCCACCTGCTGGGCCACGGCTAGAACCACACCTTCACCTGCCAGGGCAACCAAGCCCATCTAGCTCTCCTGGCTGAGCCTGAGGAAGCAGGAACCATTCCCAGGACAGGCTTTGAGCAGAGAGGGTGTAGATGTGCTTCCCTGCTCCCCAACCTTCCCAACTGCCCACCTATGTTCACCTCCCACCCCAACTTAGGTCTTCACCATTAAAAAGAAATGACAACAATAACAAAAATCTAGCTTTTTTCACTATTAAGAAATAATAATAAGGGAAGGGGAGGTGATAGTTTTATATATAGTCTCACACTTGGAATGTCATCTTTACTCTTTAGGCACCTTATCATTCATCTTTTCTCCCTTTTACTCTTTCTTTTCCTTTCTCCATTATGCCCAGGGCCTTATTTCTTTTTATTTTAAACCAAGTCTTTATTATATATTCTTTATATTTAAGGGTCCTTTATTTGTTTTTTCAAAAAGTAAAACAATACAAAAAATATACAAAGAGAGAGCTAAAAAGCTAATGTTCTTTCCCCATTTCCCCAGCCCTCTCTCCAAGGTTCCAGTGTTAACTGGATGGTGGGTGTCCTTCTAAACCTACCCCCTTGATCATTCCAACAAATGATTTGGGGTCTTGTTTTGGGGTCTTTGGGGTCTTGTTTCTGCCTCTCCACCCACACCTCTCTCTCTCTGATCCCAGGCCCTTTCTCTGAACTGGTTGAGAGGAAGAGGAAGGGAGAAGAGGGTGTCTATTGCCTCAGTTTGTAACACCGCCCTTGGAATGAGCTTCCTCAGGACCAGGATTAGCAGGCGTGCACTACTGATATTGGAGGATTTTGTGGAAGATGGTTTCTTTTATATCATGGGGCTCTTTTAAAGAGTTATATGTTCTTTTTTGTAAATCTAAGAGGGACAGTAAAAGGGAGAGAGGAGCTTAGAAGGAAGAGCACGAAAGAAAAATAAAAGCAGCATGGGGGTGCTGGGTAGTAGTACATTCTTCATTTTCTTTTCTTTTTTTAAAGAATACTTTACAGATTTTTATTCTAAAGGAATGATATTAAATATTGTTTTGTGTTTATTTTATTATTATTATTTTTTTTTGTGGTATGCAGGCCTCTCACTGTTGTGGCCTCTCCCGTTACGGAGCACAGGCTCCGGACGCACAGGCTCAGCGGCCATGGCTCACGGGCCCAGCCGCTCCACGGCATGTGGGATCTTCCCAGACTGGGGCACGAACCCGTGTCCCCTGCATCAGCAGGCGGACTCTCAACCGCTGTGCCACCAGGGAAGCCCTTGTTTTGTGTTTTATAATTCATTTTATATGTTCTATATCAGAAGATTGGTGGGTTTTTTTTTTTTCACTTAAACAGGAAAACAAAACTGTTCAAGCAAAAAACTAATTATATAATAATGGGAAATACTCTACATATATTAATTTGCTTCCTTATCAATTCTCTTTCCAGAATGTGTTCCTTTGACATATGTCTTTAACAGTCTCATCAGACTTTATTTGAAGCAATAGTACAACTGGACCTAGGTCACCTCACTCCCTGTCTGGGTGGACCCCCATCTTACCCCCACCCCTCCAGCCTCCCACACTCCCAACATCTACAACCAAACACAACTGCCCCAATCAACCTGATGCATCCTGGACCCCTATTCCCTCAAGGCCTGACTGGGCCTCCATTTCCAAATCACCCTTTAAAGGTGTAAGGGGTTGAACATTCTGTGTTTCAAGAACCTATTGGAAAAATTAACCAGTCTCATGAGTAGGTGAGGCCAGAAGGTCAAGGTCAGGCTGGTATTCATTTTTAGAGAGGAATGTCTAAGGGTAGGAGGGGAGCTCTCCTGAGAGCCCTTCAGTACAGCACCGAATCTACCCCACCTCCCAGGTCCACTCATGGAGCAGCTAGGATATGGAGGGGCTGAGCTGGAGCTGGGGTTACAGAGGAAAATCAGGAATTTCCCTGACACTGAAGAGAAAGGACACTGCTTAGCAAGGAAGATGGCTATGAAAACAATGAATTACACTGAGGTTGTAAGATGCCTGTAAGAGAGGGCCCTAAGAATGGAAACAAAGAGAAAAGAGTGGCTAATTTTAGCCCTGAGGGCCTCACAGAGGCAATATCTGAGCTGGATCTGAAAGGTGAGTAACAGTTCTCCAAGCAGGGCCAGAAAGGGCATTCAAGACAGAGGATGCAGAAGAGCCCAACTTCTCTTCAAGCCCCAGACAAGCTTAGAGAAGAAATATGTTTTCCTTTACTGAGGAATAAGTACTGAGAACAGAAAAAGACATGAAAAAGGAGAGACAGGGTTGCAATAAAACATGGGAATAAAAATAATGTTTTTGTCAAAGAATATTTTGGTTAATTAAAAAAAAAAAATTCAACCAAAGAAAAGTAATAGAAGAAAACCAGGAAAAGAATAAATTCATACCAACAAGTTTTAACGCACAATCTTGGGGTGAAGAAATGCTAGGGAATAAGAGCATACATGTAGGCAAAGAAATGCAAACTGGGCTGAGAAGAGGAGAAAAAGATTAAAGTTAACTCAGGTATGATACTGAAAGTACAAGAAAGTTAACATGATTCATAAGGTATGTGTGATTCATAAAACATAGAGTAGAACAATTAGAAGGGAAAGCCCCACAGTGCATATGAACAGGGCCAGATGTGGAGAGCCTTCTGAGTTCAAAAGTAATGAACCGGGATGAATGACTGAGGAGGCATTTGGGGTCTCCAAACCCAAAGAACTTGAACCTCAAAGTTCTCTGTGAGCTAATCAAAGTTTATCATAAAGCACAAAGGCAAGATTAATGGAACATATAAACATGGCCAAGAAACAAATAGTAATAAATGTAAAATTCAATGTATAGTAAAAAGTACTACTAAAATCCAATACACTGAGTGAAAAAAAAAAAGGTTTTAGCTCTTCATCTCAAACGATATACCAAAATAATTCCAGATAGATAAAAAAACTAAATACAAAAAAAGAAACTAAAAGAACCTAAAGAAAGAAAATGATGGGACTTTTAATCTGCTTTTAGGATGGGGAACAAATTCCTAAGCATTAAAACAAGGGAAGGAATCACACATGCATACTTACACAAAATGAATGGATTTACAAATGAAAAAGTTTTAATTTCTCTAAGTAAAAAATCATAGACAAAATTAAAAGATGAGGGAAATGATAACAGAGAAGTATCTCCATGAAATATGACACACAACACAGTCTTCACTACTATGCAAAGAAATCATGCAGAAAAAGACAAGCAAGAAAAAGACAAACTACAAGAAAACAGAAAGAACATGAAGAAAGAATTCATAGAATATAAATGGTTGATAACATGAAAAATGTGCACAGCAAAGGAAACAATAAACAAAATGAAAAGAAAACCCTCAGAATGGGAGAAAATATTTGCAAATGAAGCAACTGACAAGGGATTAATCTCCAAAATATACAAACAGCTCATGCAGCTCAATATAAAAAAAACAAATGACCCAATCAAAAAACGGGCAGAAG